ATTTGTAACGAGTACTCCACACTTTGGTCACAATTTTGCATTTCTATGGATAAAATTTACATTATATTATTTTTAAGGGAGGCGACATCACGAAATAATCCATAAGGCTCTCTTCTCCCGATTAATCTCATTATTTATGACTTTCTACCGTTTTCCTATTTTTGTTTAAGGCTATCAGTATTTTAGCGGGAATATTCGTCACGGGGTCACGCTTTAGGCGGGAATTGAATGCCGCATCTCTCACGAAGAAGCGTCTATTTACCAACATCAATCACATACTTCAATTATCATTTCTTAGATCTAAAAACTATCTGTTTCCCACTACCGTACAAACCCAAGCTATTCACGCAGAAGTTTTAGCAAAAGTTAAAGAATGTTACACACGTTTTCTTTTTAAAATTCAAATGAGAATGATCATTATTTCTTCACTCGGTCGTTACTTGGACATTTTAATCTTTTTTAATTGAATTCCATTGAAAGCTGATTTAGAATTTATTTTCACTTTCTTAGGAATCAAGCCGGACACACCGAGAACAGAAGCGCAGGTTTCTGTACAGGAGTTGTTGAACAGAATTGAAAGTCTAGAAAATGAAATGTCAACCATAAAAAGTAAAATGGTAATACATAAGTTAATCTCTGATAGTGCGGGTATTTTCTTTTTCGTTTTTCACTTTTCAAAGCGTCAAATTTGGGCAAGAAACTATTTTAAGGTGCAAAGCTCAGGTTTCATTATAGTTGGAAAAGGAAGACATCTGTAGGTTCAGAGTCCATTCAGCGTGCATGTGATGGATTGCTTACACAGTATTTCCGTTGCCGACATAACTTTTCTGCACAGGGAACAGTAGGACTACCTATCTTACGCCATACTGGAGGTTTCGAATCTTGTGTGGTCGCGCATACGAACAGCGGGCCTTTGTTTTATTTTTGCGTTTCATTTATCCTGTGTCCCAACGTCTGATTGAACGGGGAGCCTGTTCGCAGGCTAATGGAGGTTTTGCACAGCAGCCATGTTGGGTGGCAGGAACAATAGATTATTTTACGCATGGGAAAAAATTTTCTTCCTTATGCAAAATACTTTCATTGTTCCTGCCATCCAACATGGCTGCTGTGCAAAACCTCTATTGTATCCCTTTTAACCTGTACTCAGCCGAAGGAAAATTGTTATCACCAACTGTTGAAAAAAGAAATCTCATAGGAGGCGGCCGAAATTGCTGACTCAAGAAAAGCAAACAAAATGTCTTTTATCTGAACAGAAACTCAAAGCTCAGCCGGTGGCCGGATACTGTGACCGTGGGAATAAAAATCTCGTCTGCAGTCCAGCTGGCCAGCAGCTAACCACAAGGGGTTTTACATTAGAGGCGTAGGAGAAAGGGCATTAACTAAGCCAACTGAGACAACGTTTTGTTTTTCTTGTCTTAACAGAAGGTGAAAGATAATGCATTGAAAAGTTTTGTCACAGAACATGAGAGTCAGGTTTGAATACCTTTCATTCTCTTATTCTTATTATCATAATTACTCTATAATATTATTTAGTGAGGCGATACCGGTTAGGAAAAGTGTCCCTACCTTATGTGGCTTTGTGTCATTACCTACGAGACTATCTTGACTAAATGAAAGATGATCCTTAAATGTGAATAAAACATAAAGGAGAATAAAGTGTTTCCATTCAGGAACAACCCCTCGCCCTCAACGTAAATGAGGAAGTGAGAAAACCAAAGTGTGCCATGATAAAGTCATCGTTGAAATAGAGCTTGTTGGTAAAAAGCCTAATTTTTATTTTCATTCTACCTACAGGTTGAAGTTCTTCGGGAACAAGTCAACAAGACTGCCACGAGGGTGTGTTATGTCAACAATTCTGTTACATTCAGCCTAATTTTTTAGTCGTGGGTACGCGAAGCGTAGAAACGACTATTAGAAGGGGGCAGAATATGCAAATGTGTCACTCACTCAGATGTAAACAAATCGATATGTCGACGGCAGACCAATTGATAGCGACCTTCCGAAATTATACGGGAACGCCTCTATCACATTTCCGAAGTAACGCGGCGACGTTAAAATTTAACTCGACCTTTCGTCGCAGTTAGCACATGTGTAACCGAGTCAAAGCTCTTTGAAAGACTGGAGGTGTAACTATGAGTGAAGATACTTAATACAATCGCTTTTCCGCGATCATCTTTCGCCATTATTTGCATTATTGTGGAATATTCCTCGTCGTTCCTGGGTAAAGTTTTGTTTTTAACAAAGCGTCCAGGCCTGGCTTGTTCTTAAATACAATTTCAAGCCTTCATTCTTCTCACTGCGAGCCGTCAGTATTTGTATCGTTATGTATCGCTAAAATAAGTAACTGGCGAATTTTTACAGGAGAAAGCGAAGCGTTGTTTTCGTGACTGGCCAATTCTTTACTTTTCTGATGGTTTTACCTCTCATCTGTTCGGTGAGTACGGAAACATTAATTTGTGGAATTCATTGTGTGTGCACCCGTGAACGTTAAAAATATATCAAGTCGAAGGAACAGTTTTGGTCTAAGCCCACATTTTTGTCAACAAAATGAAAATATACGCATATCGGTTTAAAAGGTAAAGAGTTCGTACCACATACAAAAGCTGTCTTTTTTTTTTTTCAATACTGAAATCTCGCGCGCGAAATGAGCCGGAAGATTATACGAAGACTTGAAATTTTATTTGAGAACGATCGTGGCCGCTTTTTTAACCGAATTCAGTGGCCACTTTGTTTAAAAACAAAATATGGGAGGAAGCGGGCAAGGAATATTCCAAAATAGTGCAAATGATCATGAAAGTGATTGCTAAAAGGCGATTGCGTGACACTCGGTAAGTTGTAAGATGACATACGTTATCAGACGAAAAAAACAGTTTTCAAAATTTCCAGTCTGCATTCTGTACCCAATCTGCAGTCTGCAGTATCCATTTTGTACCTAGTCTGCAATTCGTACCCGGTTTGCAGTCTGTATTTTGTACTGACCTACAGCTAAAATGTGAATTCTGATCCTTCACCCAACATCACCCCAGCAGTTCAAAGTAATACCAAGTAGTTTCAACTGTGTCTGGGAGTTACCCATTGGAATTTAATTAGCTTCAAATCTCATTCAAACGCAATGTATGTGAGACTTATTCGCAGTTTCCTTTGATTATAATTTAGTCTCCAACTAATATAATATCGTAAGTGACACTTCTAACAAAATATTTTCACTCACCAGGTTGCTACAGTGGATGGTGTTTGGGTGAAGATGCGCAACTCACACGATGCCTTTGAGAAAAAACTGGATTCTGAATTCAAACAACTAAACGAATCTGTAGAGAAACTGAATAGCAAAGATACCAAGATATCATCTAGTGTAAATGAACTTCGACAAAATCAGATTCTAACAGAGAGGATGAGTGAAAGGTTAGCGATCAATGTTACCAATGTTGAGTCTTCTGTTCAAGAATTGAAGAAGACCAATAGAAACATCAACACCCGGGCAGCAAGTCTTGAGAGAGGATATACCCTGATGAACAACTTGATGAAATCACTTCAAGCAATCGATACCGCGCAAAACGCCTCACAGCAACAACTGCATTCTCTGCACAAACGTTTGAGAGCCTCTTTGGCGGCAGTGAACGTATCGTTAAACAACAAGGTGTGTGCACAATTCTAGATTTTCATAAATTTTCATCAAAAGAATTCATGTCTAGGTGACCAACAACCATTAACATGATTGAGCTTTTGTTTCCTCGAGCAAAAGGACTGATCAGTTGTATCGAGTAAGGGTAAAAAACCACCAGCCTCATGTTGTTTTCGAACGGTCAGTTTTGCGCGCCTATTTGTTTTTGTTTTTTTCGTCAGTAGTAATTATGATAACGATGAGAAAGCTGACAATAAGGTATCAATCAGTACATTCTACTATGAATAAATTGTTAGTATTTTCTGCTGGAGAAATCTGCTTGGGGCTCTTTTTATTCAAGATTCAATTTGTTTTCAACGCCTTGGTGTCCCATTATTGTATTTCAGATCAAAAGGTTAGATGCTATTAGCGACAAGCAGCAGGGCGTAAACCTCAGCCTGTGTGAACGGGAAACTATCCTCGGGGTTCGTACAACAGCTACCCAGATGAGTGGTGAAAGCAAAACCGACTACACAGTGCCACAGGTACAGTGGAAACATTTACAAAGGCCTCGTATATCCGTCATTCAAATAGAATAAAAGTAAATTCTATCATTTAAGTTGATATTCAGAACTCTCCGAGTTTACTCTTGTTGGCTTGTAAATCTCTCCCCATTTAAAAAAAAAATGCATAGGGGACATGATCTCCACTTGTAGGTAACCACATTAGCCGGGAATCTGAAAGTCAAGGTATTGTCTTTACTTTCTCTCAGATATTAAGCATGATTTCTTTATTTCAACAGGGTAAGCAAGTGATGGGTGTCACTTGTGCTACTAATAGAGCAAGATTTTATTCACTGGAATTGCCACCAAAAGGGGGCTCGGACTACAGATGCAGATGTAGATATATATCCCGTGCATTCCAAGGTTCCGACAATATGAAATGTGATATGCACGTATGGCTATGTCCCATATGAACACCGCTCTTGGAACTCATGATGTGGAGGGAAAAATACAACGATGGTCGTTCACGACCATGAGAATACGAAACGACATCGATGGCTGAAAATTTTTATTCCCTTTTTATTTTCGACAAGGACTATTTTGGTCTGCAACATGAAGCAAATTATTTTAACAGTATTCAATCATAAACCAAGTTGATAACGTAAGTTTTTGTTCGTACATTTGTCGTTAAGATAAAATTATTTAATACAAGTGTTTGACGTCCAATAAGAGCAGAGCTGTCCATATCTCAGCTTGCAGTATTAAGGCTAGGACTAAAAAACATCAAAAAGTTCCATGAGACTGAAATCAACTCTTGAAGGAAANCTATTAGAAGGGGGCAGAATATGCAAATGTGTCACTCACTCAGATGTAAACAAATCGATATGTCGACGGCAGACCAATTGATAGCGACCTTCCGAAATTATACGGGAACGCCTCTATCACATTTCCGAAGTAACGCGGCGACGTTAAAATTTAACTCGACCTTTCGTCGCAGTTAGCACATGTGTAACCGAGTCAAAGCTCTTTGAAAGACTGGAGGTGTAACTATGAGTGAAGATACTTAATACAATCGCTTTTCCGCGATCATCTTTCGCCATTATTTGCATTATTGTGGAATATTCCTCGTCGTTCCTGGGTAAAGTTTTGTTTTTAACAAAGCGTCCAGGCCTGGCTTGTTCTTAAATACAATTTCAAGCCTTCATTCTTCTCACTGCGAGCCGTCAGTATTTGTATCGTTATGTATCGCTAAAATAAGTAACTGGCGAATTTTTACAGGAGAAAGCGAAGCGTTGTTTTCGTGACTGGCCAATTCTTTACTTTTCTGATGGTTTTACCTCTCATCTGTTCGGTGAGTACGGAAACATTAATTTGTGGAATTCATTGTGTGTGCACCCGTGAACGTTAAAAATATATCAAGTCGAAGGAACAGTTTTGGTCTAAGCCCACATTTTTGTCAACAAAATGAAAATATACGCATATCGGTTTAAAAGGTAAAGAGTTCGTACCACATACAAAAGCTGTCTTTTTTTTTTTTCAATACTGAAATCTCGCGCGCGAAATGAGCCGGAAGATTATACGAAGACTTGAAATTTTATTTGAGAACGATCGTGGCCGCTTTTTTAACCGAATTCAGTGGCCACTTTGTTTAAAAACAAAATATGGGAGGAAGCGGGCAAGGAATATTCCAAAATAGTGCAAATGATCATGAAAGTGATTGCTAAAAGGCGATTGCGTGACACTCGGTAAGTTGTAAGATGACATACGTTATCAGACGAAAAAAACAGTTTTCAAAATTTCCAGTCTGCATTCTGTACCCAATCTGCAGTCTGCAGTATCCATTTTGTACCTAGTCTGCAATTCGTACCCGGTTTGCAGTCTGTATTTTGTACTGACCTACAGCTAAAATGTGAATTCTGATCCTTCACCCAACATCACCCCAGCAGTTCAAAGTAATACCAAGTAGTTTCAACTGTGTCTGGGAGTTACCCATTGGAATTTAATTAGCTTCAAATCTCATTCAAACGCAATGTATGTGAGACTTATTCGCAGTTTCCTTTGATTATAATTTAGTCTCCAACTAATATAATATCGTAAGTGACACTTCTAACAAAATATTTTCACTCACCAGGTTGCTACAGTGGATGGTGTTTGGGTGAAGATGCGCAACTCACACGATGCCTTTGAGAAAAAACTGGATTCTGAATTCAAACAACTAAACGAATCTGTAGAGAAACTGAATAGCAAAGATACCAAGATATCATCTAGTGTAAATGAACTTCGACAAAATCAGATTCTAACAGAGAGGATGAGTGAAAGGTTAGCGATCAATGTTACCAATGTTGAGTCTTCTGTTCAAGAATTGAAGAAGACCAATAGAAACATCAACACCCGGGCAGCAAGTCTTGAGAGAGGATATACCCTGATGAACAACTTGATGAAATCACTTCAAGCAATCGATACCGCGCAAAACGCCTCACAGCAACAACTGCATTCTCTGCACAAACGTTTGAGAGCCTCTTTGGCGGCAGTGAACGTATCGTTAAACAACAAGGTGTGTGCACAATTCTAGATTTTCATAAATTTTCATCAAAAGAATTCATGTCTAGGTGACCAACAACCATTAACATGATTGAGCTTTTGTTTCCTCGAGCAAAAGGACTGATCAGTTGTATCGAGTAAGGGTAAAAAACCACCAGCCTCATGTTGTTTTCGAACGGTCAGTTTTGCGCGCCTATTTGTTTTTGTTTTTTTCGTCAGTAGTAATTATGATAACGATGAGAAAGCTGACAATAAGGTATCAATCAGTACATTCTACTATGAATAAATTGTTAGTATTTTCTGCTGGAGAAATCTGCTTGGGGCTCTTTTTATTCAAGATTCAATTTGTTTTCAACGCCTTGGTGTCCCATTATTGTATTTCAGATCAAAAGGTTAGATGCTATTAGCGACAAGCAGCAGGGCGTAAACCTCAGCCTGTGTGAACGGGAAACTATCCTCGGGGTTCGTACAACAGCTACCCAGATGAGTGGTGAAAGCAAAACCGACTACACAGTGCCACAGGTACAGTGGAAACATTTACAAAGGCCTCGTATATCCGTCATTCAAATAGAATAAAAGTAAATTCTATCATTTAAGTTGATATTCAGAACTCTCCGAGTTTACTCTTGTTGGCTTGTAAATCTCTCCCCATTTAAAAAAAAAATGCATAGGGGACATGATCTCCACTTGTAGGTAACCACATTAGCCGGGAATCTGAAAGTCAAGGTATTGTCTTTACTTTCTCTCAGATATTAAGCATGATTTCTTTATTTCAACAGGGTAAGCAAGTGATGGGTGTCACTTGTGCTACTAATAGAGCAAGATTTTATTCACTGGAATTGCCACCAAAAGGGGGCTCGGACTACAGATGCAGATGTAGATATATATCCCGTGCATTCCAAGGTTCCGACAATATGAAATGTGATATGCACGTATGGCTATGTCCCATATGAACACCGCTCTTGGAACTCATGATGTGGAGGGAAAAATACAACGATGGTCGTTCACGACCATGAGAATACGAAACGACATCGATGGCTGAAAATTTTTATTCCCTTTTTATTTTCGACAAGGACTATTTTGGTCTGCAACATGAAGCAAATTATTTTAACAGTATTCAATCATAAACCAAGTTGATAACGTAAGTTTTTGTTCGTACATTTGTCGTTAAGATAAAATTATTTAATACAAGTGTTTGACGTCCAATAAGAGCAGAGCTGTCCATATCTCAGCTTGCAGTATTAAGGCTAGGACTAAAAAACATCAAAAAGTTCCATGAGACTGAAATCAACTCTTGAAGGAAATTTATCTTCCATAATACTTACAACAAAACTGAACGTCGCTTACAAGTTAAGGCTTCAGTTTAAACACACCTTTTAATGGGCAGGCTTTTTGCGATATTTTAGATAATAATAATATACGTTAATTGAAGCTCCCCCTTAGGGGCTTTTCAGCCTCAATGTAGACTAACTAAGTGCATAAAAATCCCTACTTGCAGGGGGCAGACCAGTGGGCTATTTACAGAGCGCAGCCGAGGAGTTGAACTAGGGGCAACCGAGAACCGGATCCACTAAGTGGCAGGGTGGAGGATTTGAACCCAAGACACCGGATTACAAGTCCAGCACCCTAACCACTCGGCCACGCCGCCTCCTACGATAAGTTTTGTTTTGATTTTTTTTTTCTGTGTTAAGCATACCTGTGATTTTTCACTTAATCCCTAACAGATTTAGCACTACTCAATGTAGGTTGACAAGCTATATCGTGTGGAACACGATGTTTAATACCTTTGAAAGGTTCATGAAGTAACAACACGTAAATTATTTGACAAATAATTTCTAGGACAAAGCTCTTAAAGGAGCCAATAACAGGGTTAAGATAACTAGCAACCACAAGATGAAAAATTGCAAGCAAAAGATTTATGAGCACAAAATATAAGTAATTAAAAATTAGGATCTTAATATATTTAATTCGTTTTATATGCCAATAATTATTTTACTGCTTAATTAATGAAAAGGGTCAATAGAGTCACGGTGTCAGTGTTTTTCACTAAGAAATTGTTATGTAACATTTAAAAAGGTTAAATATTCGTTCAGGAACTGAAGGTGTCTTGGTTGGATTTCAAAAGTCAAGAAAGGTCAAAATCTGAGCCCTTCAGGGTAATTCGTATAATTTACTTTCAGTCAAAAAATCCTCGCTATGATAAATAGATTATCTTTTAGTTTTTATTGTACATATTTAATGCTAAGTAAATGAAGAAAACTACATTCCTTAATTAAGGTTTAAACGATTATACTGTTAAAAAAGGATCGCAATGATACCGAGTAGAAAAAGCTCTTTATTTGAGATGTTTGTATGAAACGCCAACTCAAGAGCCGAAAATCCACTCTTATTGCTATTGGTGAATCGTTCTTCAAGAATGTTGTTAAAAAGATCAATACCGCTGTGGATTTTTGTAACTGACATTCAGATATAGCTGTCGAAACTTTTTACTTGTACTTGTCTTTATTAATTCATAGAGATTAATGATTAATATTTATGGAAATCAATTGAAATAAATTCTTTATAAACTGGGTTCGCTGCGGGCCTGTTGGGTGCTCACAACGTTTTAACGATTTGATGATGGAAGTGATTTTAGTTATCTTTAGCCGAACAATGAAATTAGCGACAGTTTTGTAATAAAATAGTTTTGCAGTCAAGGGACAAAGGAAAAGCGCATTGGGGTCAGAAATGCGCTGAATTCGAAAATCTATTTTATTATTATTATTATTAAAAAGGAAGTACAAAACACATTTGTTAATTTGGCTTTGCAGTCCACCGTTTATTTTGTCGCACCCTTCAAAGGAGCAAATGCAGTCAACTCTATGATTCGACTCCTCAAAGACCGCGGGAAAATGTTTGGGTTGCCGAGGATGAAAATGGAGGCAAATTTTGTGTCATCAGGAGTCGACTATTCGTCTACAGTGAGCTAGAAGATATATCATATCTATATATCAATGTTTTAACATCATATCTTTACAAAAGCTTAAAGGAATTTGGAATCCCACTCTCGGGAATACATTAGCTCGCTAATTCTTAAATTGCAATCTCGCGGTACTATTTCTTTTTAACCAGGTGGTGTGCGCACTCTGATTGCGTTGCATCGTGGTCGTGAAACAAAAATTGAGTCATTTGCATCTTGACGCGTTGGAGTGAACTTCTTTGTTAGCAGCGAGATAGCGTAAATATACGTGGATTGTAATACTCCGTTGCCGTTCCTTCGAAAGTTAAAACAGAATTTTTCAGCCAATACAACGGCTCCAGATACAGAATTTTTCAGCCAATACAACTGCTCCAAACCTGAACTCTACGGTCGCTACATCGACGACTGTATCGGCGCAACCTCCTCTACCAGAGAGGAGCTGACTCAATTCATAACCACAATCAATTCTTTTCACCCGGCTCTGAAATATACCTGGGAAATTTCTGACAATTCTTTATCCTTTTTAGACATCAAAGTTTCAATAGAAGGCAACGGTTTATGCACTAGTGTGCATTACAAACCTACAGACCCACATAATTACTTGTTGTATTCGTCTTCGCATCCATCTCATGTCAAGAATTCCATTCCTTTTTCTCAGTTTCTAAGACTTCGTCGTTTATGTAGTGATGACTCTGATTTCCACCACAAATCAGAGTCAATGTGCCAGTTTTTCGATAAACGTGGTTACCCTGTTTCTGTCGTTCAAGCGGGTTACCACCGCGCCCAACTTATTGATCGACATTCAGCACTACAAACGTCGCATAAGGAAGATTCCGACCGCATTCCATTCACTCTCACGTTTCACCCTCACAACCACTCAGTTAAATCCATCATTCTTAAAAACTTTAAATTACTTCAAAACGATCCAGAGACAAGCACTATCTTTTCGCAGCCTCCGCTCATTTCATTCAAACGCGACAAAAACATAGGCAATTTTTTGGTCAGAAGTTCTTTTCAGACTAATGACCAACCAGGCACTTTTAAATGCGCTCGTGCACGATGCAAAACGTGTCCTTTCATTCACAACACTGATAAAATATCGGGACCTAAACGATCCATTAAGATCACCGATCACTTCACGTGCACCTCCGCCAATGTAATCTATTGCATAACTTGCACTTATTGCAAAAAGATATACATCGGCGAAACAGGCAGAAGACTAGGTGACCGATTCCGAGAACACCTTCGAGACGTGGAAAGGAATGACAAGGACACATCGAAACCAGTCGCTAGACATTTTAATTTACCTAATCATTCTAAGCAACATATGGCAATCTGCGGTCTTTCCTT